GTGTGTGTGTGTGTGTGTGTGTGTGTGTGTGTGTGGTGTGTGTGTGTGTGTGTGTGTGTGTGTGTGTAGGTGGTGGGTGTGTGTGTGTGGGTGTGTGGGTGCGTGCGTGTGGGTGTATGTAGTATGCAGGTGAGAGGTATCTTTAAGCTTATGAGAGTGAGTCCGTAACAATGGGCCAAATTACCACGAAATTAAGGACAACGTCAACCAAGACACCCTTGAACAGTGCATGTGCGCTCCTTCTCACCTCAGTGTCATGCCGGTTGAAGAAGAAGTAACGACAATGGTGCCATCTTCACCACCAGACAAAATCACCCGTCCTGCAAAACAAAACAGCACAAACACCGCGAGGATCAGCATCAGTGTGATGGGTGAAAACTCCACGCAGAGACATGCCTGCGTGCGTCGCATACATGCACGTCCAAGTGCGCGCCACAAGCCCACACGCTCCTTCAACATGAGTACCAAAATCTCAACGCCCCTCCTCCACCCCCACCACCCAGCGCCCTTCTCGACCACAGGCACACCATCAAGGGAGAAGACGACACAGCCAACGACGGTGCTGTGCGGCAGAAACTTCGCCTCCATCTCAACGGAGTCGAGGTTGAACAGCCGCAAGACGCCATTGCTGTACCCGGCAACGCAGTGTTTTGCATCTGCATACGTGCGTGCGTGCGTGCGTGTGTGTGTGTGTGTGTGTGTATGCGTGTGCGTGTGTGTGTGGTGGGGATTGTTGGCAACTTGCACGTGTCAACAGCGTTGCAGCCACCCACTCTCAACAAAACGCATGCACACACACACGCACACAGCCCCAACCCCAACACACACGCCCCACAGTTTTGATCAAATCAGATCACACGGCACAGCGCACCTGGCGAAAAGGCGACACATGTTGCCCGCAGGGAGGCGTCTGCAACCTGGAAGTGCATAATCTGTTCTGCAACATCGCCATTCCACACACGCACGCTCCCGTCGTCCCCACACGACGCAAAGAAGGGGCCGGCGTGCGCAAGCGCAATGTCACGAATACATGTAGTGTGCGCAGAGCCAAGACGCACAGCAGCGCCCTCACGCCAGTGCAGCACCCAGGAGATTCCTGCTGTTGTTGCAACCATTGCCATGCCCAACACGTCATCCACGCTGCTGGCCACAATGCTGTCGTTCACAGACAACTCCCCTTCCAGTTTCAGCGTGCCTGCATGCATGAGAAGACCAGGAAACACGTGCACGCGTGCGTGCGTGTGGCTTCGTGAGGAACACCCATTTGGAGAGGCACGCAGTGGCGGCAAGTAACACCCCTTGCATGCAATGTGCAAGAAGCAACATTTGCGCATCTTTTACCATACCACACTTACGCGACCACACACACACACACACACACACACACACACACACACACACACACACACACACACACACACACACACACACACACACAAAGCATGCATGACCAGCACAAGCACATCAACAAACGCACACGCACACATCAACAAACGCACACACATGCACACTTCAACGAACGCACACGCATAAGCCACAACACGCAAGCCCCACCACAGCCCCGTCACACCCACTGCCTCTCTGGGCACACCTTGATCTTCATCATTGAGCGTAAAGAGCGATGCGACCCCAGATGTGTCACAAAGCATCACCATGGGCCCAGCTGCGTGCACGCGTGTCAGTGGATGATCACGTGCCTGTCGGAATTGTGGCGTGAGTAGCAGCCGTGATATGATGAGCATGTACACGTGAAACTCATGAAGTGCATGACGTGCACGACGCGCATGACGCACAATGCACTCGCTTTCACATACACACACGCAGACACGTACGCGCGCACTGGTGTACTGTTCTATCTGCTCGTACCCACAAACAAAGTGTGAAACACACGCGCGTTCTATCACGCACCTGCCAGGACATGACGCAAGAGTTGTCGCGTGTGTCCCACGCAGAGAGCAGGCCGTCTGCATGGCCAACAAGAAGACTGAACAGAGAGATGACGGCAAGAAGTGACGCAAGGTGAACACGTGTTTGAACTCAATGATCAGCAGTGATGACATAAACGATGACAGTCAGCAGAGGAAGGTGCCGCATGCAATTGTTCGACATTTACTCCATACACGCACACACGCACACACGCACGCACACGCACACGCACACGCACACGCACACGCACACACGCACAGTGAGCATGACGACGGGTGCGTACTCACATGCCGTTTGGCGTGTAGGCGAGCGACGTGCATGCAGGCTTAACAGACTGCATGCCGTCTTTGGTCTTCTGTGTTGGCGAGCGCGCATGCACGCCTGTTCTGTACACATTCAGCTCGTACTGGTCCTGATGATGATGATGATGATGATGATGATGATGATGATGATGATGATGATGATGATGATGATGATGATGATGATGATGATGATGTGCAGTGCCATATCGCAGGATGACAGTGAGTGTGTGCGTGGTATTAGAACCGCAGATGACATGTCGACGTGTTTGTGTGTGTTTGTGTGTGTTTGTGTGCGTGTGTGTTCCAAGCAAATGTGCTGGAATGCGGGAAGTGCAAGCACGCCAACACAGTAACCACCGCCACGGTGCAACCTTGGTGTCGTCGATGAAGAAGAAGAACACGGCATCATCTTCGCCCACAACTGCAAACTCATTGTAAATGCGCAAATCCCACGCAACCGCATGGCACTGCAACACACACACACACACACACACACACAAAGATGTACGCACATGCGCGTAGAACACGTGAGATGAAGCAGCTGCCCACACGAAAGTGACACAAAAAACACACGCACACGACCAACGCCAGCGTGTCATGGCATTACCGGCACATCCAGATGCGTTGTGCACAGCAGCGCTCCCGTGTTGACATTCCACAGGCACTGAACCGTTGCAACAGCACAAACATTGCAATGTGAGCAGCACCACAACTGCCAGACCATCGCACAGCGACAAGGATGATGCGTGCACGCAACCATCGCCACCGCATCACAACCAAATCCGAGCAACAGAAACAACAGCGCAACTCACAACCACCTCGTCACTCATCATCGCCTACCAACGTCCACCACGTGACTGTGTTTATCTCACCAAACTCGGGTCCTGGTAGTGCCCGAGGGTAAGCAGCAGGCGATCATCCTGGGAGAAGGCCATTGCCGTTACAGCGGAGAGGTGGTAGCAGAGTGTGTGCTTGCAGGCACCGGTGACCCCGTCCCACACACGAATCTCCGAGCGCTCTTGACCCTGTTGGCGACGTTCAACAATACACAAAGCAGTCACACATGGCGTGAGAAGGAGAGAATGCGCACATACAAACGGCACACGGCACACACACGCACACATCGCAACACATCACAGACACACAACGCACACGCCACACACGCAACCACCACAAGCCGCAACATGACGCACACCTTGTAGCGCGCGCTTGCTGATGCAAAGACAGCGCCGTCCTGCGAGATTGCGAGACAGGAGATGTCGGTCTTGTGGCCCAGGAGATGCTGCTGCTGGCGCGCTTCAACATCTTCAACAACAACACACGCGCCGCTGTTGCCGTGGAATGGAGGGGGTGGGGGTGGAGTGAGGGAAATCAATGTGACGTGGAAACGGGCAAATTGTATGCGCTCAAACCAGCGGACACGCAGATACACACCAATGACATACATGAACGAATGCAAACAGGGCAAGCCGACAGACAAATGCACAAACACACACAGGCATTGGCACACACACACACACACGCACACACACACACACACACACACACACACACACACACACACACAAGCACACAAGCACACAAGCACACAAGCACACACACACAAGCACACAAGCAAATACACATACACGCACATATACACACATACACGTACATATACAAACACGGGCATTGACAGGCCCTCCCTGTGCTCAGACCTTGCAAAGAGAAGGCGACCAGAGGCCGCGTGCCACAAAATGCACGAACCGCCAGTTGAATTTACGCCAATCTGAACATGACATTGCGCCAATGATACGGAGAGTGAGACTGATGGACATGATGGAGAATTTGGAAGACGAGGAAAGGCGTCCAAACAAACACATGGCATGCGTTTGTGCACTCATTGACTTAACAAAAACGTTCAACGCAAGCAAAAACACAAACAAGCGAGCAACCAAACAGCGATCTCCACTGTCTCGCTCTTCTCACCGCTGTTGCAAGCTGCAGTCCTGCTTGTTCCGGTGCCGCTGTGTATATCGTTGACGGAAGCGGCGCCCACGTCCTCCGTGCACGCGCGTGTGTCGCAATTGCAGGAACGGGCCGTGCCTCCATCTGCATGAAATCGCGTGCCATAGACACAAATGAAGGGTGGCAATACCATCCAGACGGTGATGTGAACGGATGGGCCCGGAAGTAACTTGCTGTGCTCGTCTTGTGTGTGTGTGTGTGTGTGTGTGTGTGTGCACCAGTGCGTATGTGCGCGTACGTGCACTTGTGTGCGCCTTGTCCATACGTTGGAAACACTGCGCACAGGCCCGAGGCTCCCTTGTCCCCGAACAAACAACGACAGCAACAACAGGTCAATACACACCTCGTCCAGGATGGCTTGCTCAATGACGTCAGCGCCACTGTCTGCTGCAGCTGCTTGCTCGCCATGGTCGCCAGCATCCGCAATGTCCCTTCGTGGACCTTCTTTTTCTCGCTGCTGCTGCTGTTGGCGCTGTTGTTGCTGTTGCTGTTGCTGTCGGTCTGGTGCATGCACGCGTTGCGTTGCTGGTTTCACAGCCAACGGCGATGGTGTCTGGGGCGCCTCAACATCACGGCTCTGTTGCTCGTCGTTGACGACATAAGTCGAAACGCTGGCATCATCGTCACTCACACCATCAGCCTCACCCTCATCATCGTCATCCTCTTTCTCACCACCGCCCTTCTTCATTCCCGTATCGTCTGTGAGCACCTCCACCTCCACTTCCATCGGCACGCGTGCCCTCCCCTCTGTGGCTGCCGATGCTGCTGTCGTGTCAGCGGGCTTCGTGGTCGCGGTGGGCTTCGCTGTGGCTGTCGCTGCCATTGCCGCGTTTTCCTTATTCGCCCGTGCTGCCGCCGCCGCTGCTGCTGCTGTTGCTTCGTGTTTCGCTGCTGCATCTCCGCTCATCTCCAGTGTCCAAAACTGCATGTCGTCCAAGCTTGTCCTGTGACACAGTGTGATGTGATGTATTGTGGTGTCGTGTGTGTTTGCGCGCGTGTCGTGTTCATGGTGTGTGTGTGTGTGTGTGTGCGTGCGTGCGTGTGTGTGTGCGTGCGTGCGTGTGTGTGTGTGGCTGACTTCAAGACTCTCGCCTACTTTGCTTCCCAACACGTCACTGCACAACAACACCAACTTCGACTGCCATCACTTTCAAGACCATCATAGCACTTCCGGCGCCACTCACGAGATGAACTGGGCGATGGCGGATGCAAACTGGACGGCAGTGATGGGCGCTTCAAACGTGTGCTGCAGCATTGGCTGCTCGGCGCCCTGCATTGGCTCTGCCCACACCTGGCGACCAGATTGACACACAAACACACAAATTCACATACACGCACATTCAGACACAGATACACAACGACAGTCGCAACAGCAGCAGCAGCAGCAGCAGTCGAGGTGAGCAGAAAGCGAGCACATTCAACAGTTGTGCAAGTAAGCAACGTCGCCACTCCTTGTCCCACCACCCACAAAGTGTCTCACAGCATGTGTCACATCGGGTGCCAGCTTACCGTGAGCGTGGACAAAGAAACCGACAGCACAAGTGTGCTGCCTTGTTTGCGGAACAGCAACAAGGACGTCACGCCACCGCTTGTCGCAGCCCCACACGACTTCTGCACACATGCACACACGCACATACACACACGCACATACACAACACACATGCACACACATACACACGCGTTGAATAATGAATAAGCACGAAGAAGTATGCGTGCACAGGTGTGTATTGTACAGAGCAAGGGGGGGGCAAAATGTGTTTGCACATGCGTACATACACACGACAGTGCTGCTTCTGCTGCTGCTGTGGCACCCCATCTGCAAATAAACATGCACGCACCTTGGCGATGATGGCGCCAGACTGCGTGCTGACCTTGAACACGTGCCCGTCAGATGTTCCCGCCCACACGTGTTGCCTGCAAGCAAGAAAATGGCGGTGAGCAACCGCAAACTTGCAGCAGATGAATGTTACAAGGCAAGTTCTGCAAACTTACAATCTGAATGCACACATATTGATGAACACACACGCGCACATGCAATAATACACAGCACACGTGCATTAATACACAGCACACGTACGCTTCGTCGTCGGTGCAGAGTGACGTGATGGTGAACGGTTTTGGGCGCTTTTTCCTGCTGGATTCCCTGGACGCCAATGACAAACGCGTTTGCACGAGCTGCAGCACAACGTGTTCGTACATGCATGAAAGTCAACCAGTGAACACAGGAAAAAGTTGATGACGGGGTCACATGCTGGCATCATATGACGTCAACCGAGAAGATAAGTACACATGGAGTGTCTCCACAATCATATGCAAGCACAAAAGCACGAAGACAACCAGCGCACAAACAACGCCCGTGCTAGTAGGGACCCTGTCTGGCTCGCTGTCACTCCTCTTGCTGCTTTCTCTGTCTTCCAGTCCCCTCCTCGTTCACACCACCTCACACAACAGCACACAGACGAGCACACCAACCTGCTCGAAGGACAGGGCGTCCAGCAGCGTGATTGCGTCAGGGCGCGGTGCAACAACAGCGAGAAAGCGGTCGTTGCCTGCAAGCGCCATTGCAGATGCAAACGGGTGCGTTGCATACGTGTCGGCCGAACCAAACTCCGCAACTTGCACAGGCGTCCACTGCACAGAAGTGTGTGTGTGTGAATGTGTGAGTGAATGTGAATGTGCGCGTGTGTATGTGAATGTGTGTGAATGTTTATGTGTGTGTATGTGTGCAAACGTTAAAGTAGCGTCAAACATTTGTTCCAAGTGCATGCTGCTGGTGATGGATCTCAGTCACGCACGCGAGTCGACAACATTCAAGCAAACAGTGTACCCCTGTTGATACACACACACACGCACGCACACGCACACACACACACACAACCATTTCTCATACAATCACGGTCCATCGCAGTCCCGACTGACCGATGCCGTGGAGATGGCGAACAAGCGACCGTCAGCACCCAAGGTGTAAATTCGCTCTCCGTCACTCGACGCCAGGATGGCAAGCACACACGCGTCGTGCTGATCATGGCAATGGGGTAATGACGGGTGGGACGGCAGAGGAACGGGTGAACGGGTGAGGCAAGCGTTGGAATTGACGAAGAATGATGCGTTTGGAACAGTAGGTGATTTGACCCCAAGATAATGCAATCACACCAGCGTAGCGTGCTTGCAGATCGTCTTCATATGTCAACAATGCACACAATGCCGAATAAAACTCACATTGTACTCACATTGTCCAGCACGCTGACTTGCTGCTTTGCATCCAAATCAAACAAGCGAACCTGCCCAGACTCGAAACCGGCAAACAGACTGAACAGGACAGAGAACACAGACCACAACCATGGGCGCAGGCGCAGGAGACATGAACCACACACGATCATCATCATCATCGTCATCGTCATCAGCAACAGCAGCAGCAGCATCGTCATCAGCAACAGCAGCAGCAGCAGCAGCAGCAGCACATGTGCACCGCAAGCAGGCAGCAGCACGCAACATTGCTCAAGAACAAGAGCAAGATGGAGAAGAACAACAACAAATAACCAAAACACCTGCGGTTGCACCTCACATTGGCTGTTTGGGGTGGAAACAGAGGCACGTTGGTTTGTCTGTGATGGCCTGGAATTGGTCAACTTGCTGCCGCGTCTCCTGTCAATTAGAGGTGTGTGTGTGTGCAAGTGTGTGTATGTGTGTGTGCGTTTGTGAACTGTAGCAGGCAAGCATGTACTTGAAGCAAACATATCATAAAGCAAGCCAAGACTCGGCAGGTACAGGGTGACACGTGTGCATACGTACATGTACACACCAATCTGCATGCATGCACACGAACCCCACGTAATGCACAGCATGTTCACGACGCAATCGCACATGCACCCGCACCTGGCTCCAGATCCTGATGTCTCTGTCCTGGCCAGCTGTTGCAAAGAGCGGCTGCGTTGGATGCGATGCCAGCACCTCCGCGGGCTGCACAACAACAAGCAGCAATGCAGTTACTCGTGTGAGCGGTGATGTCTGTTGGGGGCAGGCAGGTGTATGTGGGTGGGAATGCGTGCGGGTATGCGTGTTTGTTTGGTTGTTTGGTTGTTTGCTTGTTTGTTTGGTTGTTTGGTTGTTTGTTTGTTTGTTTGTTTCCGCGCGTGGCGTGTGCGTGCATGTGCGTGCATGTGCGTGCATGTGCGTGTATGTGTGAGTGTGCTCTTGTAACAAGCACCTTCAAGTGCGTGCGGACGACGGTCTGATACTGCTTGTCCTCCGGTGAGAATATGCCTGCAGGTAATCGCCAGCAATGTGGGGCATCAATGCAACACACAATGTGTGCATGTGCGTACCATCTCACAATCCAGACACACGCTTCGAGTACATGCACTGATCCACTCCCACCACAACCACAACCACAACCATCACCACCACCATCACCACCACCACCATCACCACAACCAACGACTCACCGATGGTGCCATCCGTTACAGTGCAGAGACAACGCAGCTTCATGTCCGTGCACACAGAAGCCACCTTCGCCGCATGCACAACCTCCAGCTTGTAGTCGTCAAAGCCAAAGTCCCACGTGCGCAGGCGCCCCTCTGTATCCGCAGTGACACACCCGGCCGATGACGCAGACACACAGCAGATGGCCGTGCTGTGGCGGTGGAGACCGCGGTGCAGAGAAGGGAAGTGGAGGAGGTGGTGAGAAGTGTGGTGAAATCGCAGTAACGAGAATGTGTAAGGGGGCATGGACAGGTTGTGAAGGGAAGGAGGGTGGTGATATGCACACGGACGTGCTGTTGAAAACATGCTTGATTGGACCACACGATCAATTGCGTACTTTTGGGAGTGAAGCGGGAGCGCGGAGGAGAGAGAAATGGAGTTGAGGTTGACAACGAACAGAGACCCCTTGTTGCCGCCAATCAACGCCCTGGTTGGGAACAACGAGTGTGTGTGTGTGTGTGTGTGTGTGTGTGTGTATGTGTGCATGAGGGTGAGAGTGAGAGAGTAAGCGAGACGGTGCGGGTGTGCACATGTGTGCAGCTACCCGAGCCACAATCAAGTATCAACGAAACCCACCACTAGTTGACGCAGGGTAGCGTGTGCGTTCGATATTCACAATGACGCCACAAGCATTCCCCCCCCCCTTTCTTCTCCATGATCAACACCACCACAGCTGCGACCACAGTCCACAGCGTGCACCTTGCATGGTCGTGGGTCGGGACAGCAAACGCAATGCCGTGGAATTGCACGCCGCTCGCGTGGTGCCGACGCAGATCAATGGGGCAGCAGTGCAGACGGTCTGCAGCAATATGTGTGGAGTGCATCGTGAAAGGGGGAAGGATTGTCATTGCACATGTGTTTGTTGTGTATGTTATGTGCGTGATGGGTGTGGGCGTGTGCACGTATGTGTGTGCATGTGTGAAGCGCTGTCAAAATAATGTGTGCAAAGCGTGAGAGTGCCAGGAGAAGTGCTGGCACAATAGCGCACATCTGCAATCTCACCTCCTTTGCATCGCCAGACGCGAATGTTGTCGCGGCCACACGAGATGAGACGTGTGTTGTCGTGCGGATAAAACGCGATCTTCTCCACACTTGCATCTGCACTCAAAAGTGAGCAATGAGATGTGCACGTGAAGAAGGTGCAGATACTCACACGCACGTTCTTACATGCATGCATGCACGTTTTCAATAGTATGCATGTTCACGCACGTACGCGCACTCAAGGGCACGCACACGTGCACTTCCAGTCATACAAACAACCAAATCACACAAAACAACCAACAACCATCGCCAACACCAGCGCCACAATCTTCTTTGTCCCACCTGTTGTTGCGCTGAGGAGACGCGACCATTTGCGCCTGGAATCCGTCGCCGCCGCCCACACGCCGACACTCGTCTTCATGTGTGGCGCCTGCAGTGGTGGTCGTGGTAGCAGTGGCCGAGATTGTCGTGAACGTGAGAGAGTCGTGGCGGTGGTGGAGAGAGTGGTCGTGACAGTGAGAACGAGACCTGTTGCCTCATTGAACAAGTCATGACCAAACGCAAAGCAAAACGTGCGACCACTAATCTTGAAACACCGTGCTCAATTCCCATGCACGCACAAGCCCCACCACCATCACCAGCAAGGGGTTGCTTGTTCAACGAACCGTGAGAACAACGGCAATGCGCTGACCAGACACGTCGACAGCAATGTGCGACACCGTCTTGTAGAACACCCTGAATGTACCGTCGACAAGCAGGAAAGTGCGAGACACGCGTGAATTGCAAAACTATACAGTCGCATTCAAACGACCATTGATCAGTATTTGTTGTCTCGCCATCTCCACTCAAACCACAGCAGCTCAGCGTACGCAGATTACTACACACATACACACACGCACACACGCACACGCACACACGCACACGCGCACACACGCGCACACACGCGCACACACGCGCACACAAAGGTGACAAGAGCAGAGAGTAGAGTCATAAGACCACCCTTCCTCGAACACACGCAAACAAGAGCGTGCTGACAGAACGCACTTTGACCAGAGCGGGCGCAAGTTTGTTGGTGTGGCCGCCCATGTGCACACGAGAAACGACTTGCTGTCCTCAGACGTCGCCGCTGTTGCTACCACATCGCCAGATCGGCTCTTGGCCACGTGGGTGAACTGCAACGTCGTGGCGATGGTGATCGTGGCGGTGATGGGGTGCATGAATAAGAACGAGTGAGCGGATGAACGCTGCATGGCGCACCGAGGTGCCTTCCGCCAATTCATCAGACATTCTGCCTCTCCAACACGGCTGTCAACATCAACACCAACATCAACCCCAATAGCAACCCCAGCGATGCACGCAGGAGTGCTCACCGTGAACTTTGCCTCGCCCGTCTGCGTTGGGTGCACGAGAGGCGGGGTGACAACTTGCTCGTTGTTGATCCAGTTGTGCAACACCAGTCGCGATTTCGCAGCGTACACTGGATGATGGTGATGGTGGGTGTGGTGGTAGTGGTGGTGGTGGTGGTGGTGGTGGTGGTGGTGGTGGTGGTGGGTGTGGTGGTGGTGGTGGTGATGATGATGGTGGTGGTGGTGGCGAAACAAGAGACGTGTTTGTGTGAGAATGAGGAGGCAATGCAGAAATTGCTTGTTCAATTCCATACCCGTGTCATATTGCACGTTACCCTGCACCCACGCTAACATTACATGAACGACTCACCAACACCACCAAAAAACCACAAATGGCACGAGCAAGCAGTGGCACCTCGAGACAACCACTTCATCAACCACTGATACAATGCGATGGTTTTGTGTCCTCACCGATGGTGGTCCGCGAGAGCCACTGCGCGCCGCCCCCGCAATTAGGCGACAGGCCGACGACACCGCGAAGCTTGATGGACGCGTGTGCACCCTGAACGCATCACACGGGTGCACAGCCACACATGCATGCCATGAGCAATGGACGCAAAGAAACACAAACGCTCGAAATGAAGCGTCTCAGTGACCCAGACTTGCAACTTACATTTGAAACTTAAACAGCTGCGACAACCAAAACCATGACTTTCAACAAATGCAATGACGAATGCCAAACAAGCAACCGCAACACACACACACATATGTATATATATATATATATATATATATATATACATATATATATACGTACGTGCTGTCCATCATCAGCATCGTGCCTCCGTCGCCGCTGCTGTCGATCCACGACAACCGGAGAAGCCATGGCCGTTGTTGACGACGCAGCTCTGCTCTGTTGCTGCTGCTGCTGCTGTTGTTGTTGTCTTTGTGGTTGCTGCTGGCGCTGTTGTTGTTTGGTGCCGGCCTCATTGTCTGCAAATGATTGCGTGTGTGGTGCTGCTGGAGTTCTCACGATGCGACCGCGCGGCACGGGCGTTGTTTCCACTTCACCCCGGACTCCTTGGCCTTTTCGTGGCCTCGTCTTGCTTGCAGGCACACCCGCTTCTCGCCTTATGCGTGCCCCTCCGCCTCTTGCGCCAATTGCTGATGTGAACGCTCGCGGCACTGAGTCCAACAGTTCCTGCTCCTCATCATCATCATCATGAGCGGCAGCAGCATCATCGACATCGTCATCGTCACCATTGTGGTGCTGTGCAAACGCATCGCTGGTGTGTCCAGCATACCTTCCGTGCTGCTGTGGAACATCGTGCTGGGAAATACTGCCTGTACCAGCCCTCACAGCTTGCGTTGCATGCTGCTGCTGCTGCTGTTTGGTGCGTGCAAACGCGCTGTGCCGTGTGATCGGTTGCTCGTGTGCCGCAATCGCCCGCTGGTGCGGTCGTCTCCCTGTTGGTGAGTGCGCACTCATATCAGTCCGCTGTGCACGCGTGCTGTAGGGAAGGCCACGCGCTGGCTGTGTGACTGCATCATGGTCTGCCCGTCTGTGCTGTCGCGAACGCTGCACTTGCTCCTCATTTCTACAGTGTCAACACAAGTCAGTCAGGAATCACAGCATGATGAGAACAGCGTCACGATGACAAGGTGGGCAAACCCATGACGCAAATACACGCACAGGATTGAAACCAACCAAACAAACAAACAAACAAACAAACAAACAAACAAACAAACAAACAAACAAACAAACAAACAAACAAACAAACAAACAAACAAACAAACAAACAAACAAACAAACGACCACTGGAGTCACAGTCACGCCTGTCCGAAGCAACCTCCCTTCTCCTCTTCCTCCCCATTCTCATCTCATCACCGTGCAAGTCCCGTCTCTGTGTTGAGTCTGTGCGGGTCGACGCCAACAACGGGAAATGCATCAGACCGCCCGGGAACAAACTTCACGTCTTGCTCTGACACAAGAAAGCGATGGGAGAGATGAGGGTGGTAATGGAAGTTCGAAGAATGTCATCTGGTGTGTGTGTGTGTGTGTGTGTGTGTGTGTGTGTATCTGTGTGTGTGTGTGTGTATGTGTGTATCTGTGTGTGTGTGTGTGTGTGTGTCTGTATGTGTCTGTCCCTGTATGTGTCTGTGTGCGCATTCTGTTTCATGCAAGGTAGCGAAGATGTGGATCATCAACACAAAAGCATCTGCAGCTTGACAACCCCACACACACACACACACTCTCTCTCTCTCTCTTAAAGCACCGCCGTCACCGTGTCTCACCCTGCATTGTGTCCGGGGTGTAGTGTCGCATGACGGCTGCTCCCTTCTTCAGCTTGCGGTGCACTGCAGCTTGATACTGTGGCGGCAGCTGGCCAGCCCGCACAACGCCATCTGGTTGTAGTCGTGGTCGTGGTCGTGGTTGTTGAGGATCAACAGGTGACAGCATGCATCCGGCGCGATATGTTGTGAGCTGTGCAGTTGAAGGAGTTGGCCTGTGGGCGTGGGAATCCCCCCCCCCACACACACACACACATTGAACAACACAACCTGCACAACAAAATACACACACATACACACATACATTGAACAACACAACCTCCACAACAAAATACACACACATACATACACACATACATACACACACATAAACACACATTGCACATTGCACATCGTACATCGTACGTGTCCACGCAGCACAACCCTGACCTGTTGGTGGGGCTTCGGTGCGATAGACAGGAACCATGTCTTCGCCAAAGTCCTGCTGAGGAAACAGCATCAGCGCATACATGTCGTGCCAGGCCTTGCCCTACGGTGTGCACCGCGGCGGTGGGATTGCGCGTGGAGTTGGTTCAAGCAGGGGCACGTGAGTTTGGTTAGGATTCAGTGAGGGCTGAACATGATGCAACTAATTGCACTGGTGCACGGGTACCCAGAAATGTATACGCATGTACACACAAGCACATGTGCACACACACACACACACACACACACACACACACACACGCACACACACATATGCACACAAACACACGAATACCCTCCCCCGCCTCTCCTCGCCTCCAATTTGACCCACCTTGGGCGTGAACATGCGCATGGGACGCGGCAGGGACGTGTGCTTGAAGAACTGGTCAGATGTGAACACGCCGCGAACGCTCATGTTTGCACACAGCTTGATCGACTTCAGGTACACAAACCTGAACAACGGATGGGCAACGTTTCAAGTGTGCGGGATGCGTGAACGACAGTGCAGGGAGACCGATGAGGTGCAACAACAACAGTCGTTTAACGCACACACACACATGTACACATATGTACACACACGCGCGCACGCTCTAGAATTCCGTGGCTGTGCACAGCTCAACCCCGCTTCCTCCTTCGGCCATTGTGCACACACACAACCCTCTCAGCCAACACTATGCACCGATGTGCATCCAAGTCTTCCATCTACAGCAACACACACACGCACACACGCACGTGTCGCATCACGTCGCATCAAGCCACGCCAACGCCACATACTTGCGGTTGAGGTAGAGGGAGAGTAGCATGGTGAGATCAATGACAAACAGCGTCCACTGCAGCGGCATGTTGACGACGGGAAACTGCAACCACGTGGACGTTGCCTTGAACTCCTATCCACAGACAAGAACCCAAAACATGAAACCCTGAGTAATCACGGATGCACACACGTAGCAACGTGCAGGCACGCGCGCGCACACGCACACACGCACACGCACAGCAGTAGAGTACAGAGGCCATCACAGTGTGGAAACCAAAACAAGTACAACAGGAAAATACACAGCTCCACTACCAGGTCCTGTGCTCTGCGCCACATCACGAACCAACCTTGTAGAGGTTTGAGAAGGAGACGCGGATGACGACGCCACCTTTGACGGCCGCCTCCAGGTGGATGACAAAGGGTTTGTCCCTTGCAGGACGGTACTGGATGTACACGAACCGGCCCACAAGGCCCAGAGACTGGGACGTTGCCTTTGGGAACTGCATGTAATTGCTGGCAGGCACAGATCCGCTGATGCGATACACATTCGTGCGCAGGATTTTGTCCTGCATGTCGCAAGCACACACCGCATGTGGCGTTGGTGTGAATGAACGCGAACATGGGAGGCAGCACTTTGTGTGTGTGTGTGTCTGTGTGTGTGTGTATGCGAATGCGTGTGTGTGTGTCTGTCTGTCTGTCTGTATATATGTGTGTGTGTGTGTGTGTGTGTGTTTGCGTGTGTGTGTATGTGTATGTGAATGTGTGTGTATGCGAATGCGTGTGTGTGGTGCATGTCTGTGCGCGCGTGTGGTGTGCAGGATCCGATCGCCTGGGCGTGGCGTGAGTCGCACTGTAATGTTAGCTGGCCTTACCATGACGCGGTTCACTTCGCCACTGCGGCTGCATTGTTTCCAGTCACCAGCACCAAAGTGCTTGAACACGTCCACCAACGGCAGTTGCCATGCTGTCCAGGGTTTGTCCATGGGGGTAAAATGGGTGAAGAGGAAAGGTGAACAGAGAAGAACGCGGTCAGTGATGACCACACATCACACATCACACACACACACACACACACACACACACACACACACTCACTCACTCACACTCACTCACTCACACACACTCACTCACACACACACACACTCACTCACTCACACACACACACACACACACACACACACACACACACACACACACACACACACACACACACACACACACACACACACACACACACACACACACACACACACACACACACACCTTTGCCGCTCATCGTTGTTGGTCGCCGCCGTTTCAAAATTTGGCCGGCAGTGTTTGCACATTCGACAGCATAAACAGTAGCGGATATCAGTGGCAACAAAAGAAGACGAAGGCGACCAACAAACCAACCGAGCAAGAAGATGAGCAGCGCCATGGAGAAGCTTGAGCAGTGGCTCGAGATGGACATGGTATACGAGAGAGACGAGCGAAGAGCACGCGAGCGGGCAAGAGTGGTGACTCGGGTGGGGTGGTGGGAGGAGTGATTGGGTGAAACTGCATTGCGCTTTCCCTTGCGTTTGCGCTTGCGCGTTTTGGCAAGGACACCCATGTCCACTGTCCGGAGCTGTTCCCACCAAGTCACACCGCATCTCCTGCCGCTTCTGCTCGTCCTTGCTTCTTTCAGTGGGGTCCAACCAAGGAGGAAGCTCAGGAGTTGAAGAACAAGAAGAACATGGCGGCCATTGAGTCCCAGTTTGGGAAGCGCATCGCCTTTGGCACAGCAGGTAAGAGAACTCCCTTTGAACAAGTATCAGCAGAGGCGTAAGGCTTATTGTTGCTGTCACTGCAGTTCGTTTTGCTCGTGCTTCGTCAACACAGCGCACACACACACACACATGAACACACACTCTCTCTCACACCCACCCACACACACATGAACACACTCACACTCACACTCACACTCACTCACTCACTCACTCACACACACACACACACACACACACACGATTTGCCTTCGTGCCAGGCCTGCGTGGTCCAATGAAGACTGGATGGGCTTGCATGAACGACCTGACCGTGATCCAGGCATCCCAGGTGTGTGGGTTTCGTCACACGCTGGAAAATATCACAACGTGAATCGTACGATCCTCGGTCGTGTGACTGCCTTCGCTGACGAATGCCTTTGCTTGATGCGCGTGTGCAGGGCCTTGCCAAGTACTTGGAGGCGCAGAATGGAACGACGGACTTCCGGGTGGTGATTGGCCACGACTCGCGGCACAACTCTCGCCGCTTTGCTCGTCGCGCCGCCACGGCCTTCCTTTCCCTTGGCGCCGAAGTCATCCTCTTCTCCGGTTTGTCTGTGTGTGTATGTCTGTGTGGCTGTGGCTGTGTGTGTGTGTGCCTGTGTGTGTGTGTGTCTTTGTCTGTGTGTGTGTGTGTCTGCCTGTCCGTATGTCTGGTTGTGCGTATTTGTTGAAGTTGAGCAAACGCGTGTGGTGTCTAAACCAGCCCACTTGCCTTGTTTTCTGATTCTCTCCCCTCCCCTATCCGTTGTACACCGTGCAGACGTTGTGCCAACGCCCATGATCCCATTTGCTGTGTCGCACCACAAGTGTGCCGCAGGCATCATGGTCACTGCCTCCCACAACCCAAAGCAGGACAACGGCTACAAGGTCCGTCATCACATCACTGCTGCTGCTGCTACTACTTGCCGCTGTTGTTGCCTGTTGTTGCCAACGTTGAGATGTTGTGCTCCTGCCATCGATGGCGCTTTGTTGTGGCACTGTTGCGACACCCAATTACAACGACAACGTCTCTTTCCCACCTAATGCACAACCACTAATTCACCTCCTCCTCCTCCTCCTCCTCCTCCTCCTCCTCCTCCTCCTCCTCCTCCTCCTCCTCCTCCTCCTTGTGTGCAGGTGTACTGGAGCAACGGTGCGCAGATCATCCCCCCACACGACGCCGGCATTGCCAAGAGCATCGATGCCCACTCCAACCCATGGTGTGACACCACGTGTGCGTGCCTATGCATTTGTGTTATGCAGCACGTGTCACTTCACCACACCCGTGAAGTTGTCATGTACTGGTAACCACGTCGCTTGCTTGCTTGCTGACTTTATGCCCTTCCCTACTTCCCTACCCACCTTCCCCTCACCTTCTTTGCTCTACCCTCCCTCCACTCCCGCCCCCAAACAACACCAACAACACCAACAACACCAGGGCGAGTGCATGGGACGAGCAGATTGCAGAGAAGAGCGAGCGCTGCCACTGCACGCTGGCTGAAACGAGCGCGGCCTACTTCAAGGCCATTACCGCCAACAGCTTCCTCGATGCAGACGTTCCACGCGATGGCATCACCTTCACCTACACCGCCATGCACGGTGCGTGTGTTGGGCGGGGGGAGGAGTGTGTGTTGTATTTGTATTTGTGTATCTACTTATCTGTCTGTCTGTCTGTTTGTACATGTGCACCACCACCCCCTCCCTACCGAAGTGCTTCACCACCATGCGTGGTCTGCCTGCACATGCTGTTGACTGTTGACTGATGACTGATGCTGCGCCCTGCAGGTGTTGGCTGGAAGTACTGTCAGCGCGCCTTTGAGGCATTTGGGCTTCCCCGCTTCTGCGACGTCGAGAAGCAGGTTTGTTTGGTCGTCTTTCTGTCCTGCTTTTCGCCTCTTATTTCTCTGCTTCCTTGAAATCCCTGCCCCTCTCCATCTCTTTCTTTGCGCACTGCTGTCGCGAGTGAATCCTATCTATCACCAATGAATGCTTGCTTGATCCCTGCTTCTTTACCCCTTTCGCCCATCTCAATACCATTGGCCGCCATCTCTAACCGCCCCCGCCCCCTCCACCCCTTTCCCACTGTCCCCCTCCCCCACCAGGTCTCCCCAGACCCGGAGTTTCCGACTGTCGAGTACCCAAACCCAGAGGAGGTGCGCCCGTACATGTTTCGCTGCCACGGTTTTCTTGGCGCACTGCCCTACTTCCTTTCACTGCCCCGGCCCGTTGTCCGCATTCGCTCTCATCGTTCAAGCTCAATCAACTTGTCAAAGTTCTGTGCATCGCCCATCGTCCATCGCATTTGTGCATGCATGCATGCATGCGTGCGTGACCTCTCTTACACCTCCTCCCTCTGTCCCCCTCGCTCGCCTTCGTTGCTTGTCCTTGATTCTCCTTCCCCCTCCCCCCCTCTCCTTCACCTCAATTCAGGGCAAGGGCGCACTGACGCTGGCCATTGAGACAGCAGAGGCCAACAACTCCTCCGTCATTCTCGCCAACGACCCAGGTCCCCCGCTCTCTGTGCTATGCACCAATCTTTGTTGTTTTTGTGTGTGTGTGTGTGTGTGTGTGTGTGTGTGTGTGTGTTGTGTTGTTTTTGTTTTTTGTTTTTTTGGTTGCTTCTCGCTGTGTCACCCCATGTACCCTCGCTGCATTGCGTGGCATGGGCATGGTTCCCATGCGCCACATGCGTCACACCTCTCACTTATGCTCACGTTGCGGTTTCATGCGCGTGTGTTTCTGTGGACGACAACAGATGCGGATCGCCTGGCTGTTGCCTGCAAGCACGATGGTCAGTGGCAGATTCTCAACGGAAACCAGATTGGCTCCCTTCTTGGCTGGTGGGTGTTCACCAACTACGTCAAGCGCAACCCAGAATGCAAGAAAGGTAGCCGCTTGAGGGCTGTGCTTTGTCTCTTGTTTGCTTCCCTGCTTGCTTGCTTGCTTGCTTGCTTGCTTGCTTGCTTCCTTGCTTGCTTGCTTCCTTGCTTGCTTGCTTGCTTCCTTGTGTGTGTGTGTGTGTGTGTGTGTGTGTGTGTGTGTGTGTGTGTGTGTGTGTGTGTGTGTGTGTGTGCGTGCGTGTGCGTGTGCGTGCGCTTGCTTGCTCGTCACTTCTTCCCCAACAACCGCTGCCAACCCCCTACCCCCCGCGCTTCTTGAAATAGACGACCTGTACATGGTTGCGTCGACTGTCTCCTCCAAGATGCTCGGCACCATGGCTGCGGCAGAGGGCTTCAACGTGAGCACAGCACGATGAGTCTTGGTCCTGTATGAAAGCTGCCTCGCCACTCGCTTGGCTGGCTGGTTGTTAAGCTGTCTTTTGTCATGCCATCCGCCTACTTACTCACGCACACACACGCACATGCACGTACATGCATTGTTGCTCACCTGTAGTTTGTGGAGACGCTGACCGGCTTCAAGTGGATGGGCAACAAGGCACGCGACCTCCAACAAGAAGGTGTTGCGTGTGGTGCTGCTGTGTGTGCTTGCGCTGTCTGCCATGTGCATGCTGCAATGCTGCTGCTGCTGTTGGGCGCAGGCACCTACGCAACGTCATGCCGTGCCGCATGCTTGGCCCTGGGTCCTCGGACAACAGTCATCCACAACCTAAATGCACAACCCAATGCACAATCTGTGCGCACACTCACGCGATCTTTGCACTTGAACTCCTCGTTCGCTGTGTTGTGTGCCTTCCCCCCCCCCTTTCTTTCTGCGTCCGTCAATTTCCGTCGTGCGCAGGCAAGACGGTCCTGTTCAGCTTCGAGGAGGCCATTGGCTTCTGCATCGGCACCACCGTTGTCGACAAGGTGGTCTTGCTTCGATCATTGCTTTGGGTTGTTGTTGTTGTTGTTGTTGTTGTTGTTGTTGTTGTTGTTGTTGTTGTTGTTGTTGTTGTTGTTGTTGTTGTTGTTGTTTGCTGTTGTTGTTGCTTGTTGTTGTTGTTGTTGTTGTTGTTGTTGTTGTTGTTGTTGTTGTTGTTGTTGTTGTTGTTGTTGTTGTTGTCGTTGTCGTTGTTGTTTGTTGTTGGATGTGCGTGTGTGCGTGTGTGTGCGTATGTACATGTGTCTTCTGTCTCTCTACCTCTCTGTGTCTGTAGCTGTGTCTGTGTTCTGCTTCTGTTCCCTATCCTCCCCTTTCGCCTCATCGACGTTGCCCTGCGTTGCATGCGCTTCATTTCGACTGCACGCGTCCGAAACCACTACAGGACGGCGTGAACGCCAGTGCCGTTATGGCTGAGCTCTGCCTCTACCTCGCTGCCCAAGTAAGGAATCGTGCGCTTGCTGCTGATCGTGTTGAGTAGTGATGGCGGTGGTTGGCGTTGGTTGCTTGTGTGTGCTTTGCTGTTTTGTGTTTTGTTTGGTTGTTTATTCGCCGCCTACCCGACTGTTGGGCGCCTGACTGCGTCGCATTGCGTGCATTGCCACCACAAGCACATTGCTGTTTGCACACGTCACACACACACAGCCAAAACATGCATGCACGCGACATGCAACACCCCCCCCCTCACTCGCACTCGCACACAACACAACATACATGTATGTGTGCGCAATCCTCATGTCCGCACGCTGTGCTGTCGCGATTATTCAGGGCAAGACGCTGGTGGACTGCCTGAATGACCTGTACACCAAGTACGGCTACCACTGCACCTTTAACTCCTACTACATCTGCGGGTAAGCGCCAATTTCCCGACATTGCATCATCATGGTCAACGAGAGCTTACGCTTGCTGCACTGCTTGTGCTGTCGCCGGTAAACGAATTGTACCGCGCTGTCGTTTGAGTGTTGTTACATTATGTTAGTTTGTTTTTGAAGGGCCCACATTGCTTTGTTTGGGTTTGGGTTTGGGTTTTGGTTTTGTTTGTTCATTTATCACCGCCAACACTCCGCGTGCTGCCCTCGTTCCTTTTTTCGTTCTTCCGCTTGACGCGCAAACTCACCCCAAATCCCCACCCCACCACACACCCACACCTCGGTGTCCTCCCCCCCCCAAAAAAAAACAAAAACCCATACCAATGCAATGATGCAATGAACAACACCGCCGGCGTCTGCAGTGAACAGGCGACCATTGACGCCATCTTCTCGCGCATCCGCCACTATGATGGCGGGGATGCCTCTGGTGCGGTGGTCTATCCATCCGTTGTTGCCGACGTGCAAGTGCTCAGCGTGCGCGACGTCACCCTCGGCACGGACTCGGCCCAACCAGACGGCAAATGCCTCCTCCCACAGCAGGTCAGCTGACACGTGTGTGTGTGTGTGTGTGTGTGTGTGTGTGTGTGTGTGTGTGTGTGTGTGTGTGTGTGTGTGTGTTGGTGTGTGTTGGTGTGTGTGTGTGTGTGTTGGTGTGTGGGTGTGGGGGGGGTGGGTGTTGGTGTGTTGGTGTGTGTGTGGGTGCGTGCATGCACCGTGTATGTGTACACTGTCTATGTATGCACCGTGCATGTGTGTACTGTCTATGTATGCACCGTGTATGTGTACACTGTCTATGTATGCACCGTGTATGTGTACACTGTCTATGTATGCACCGTGTATGTGTACACTGTCTATGTATGCACCGTGCATGTGTGTACTGTCTATGTGTATCTCCCATTTGTTTGTGCTGTATTTCCCCATGCAACTGCCTTGCTTTGTCTGCTTGTCCCCTCACACCCTCACCCCCTTCTCTCCCTTGCCCACCCTCAACACGCACACGTGCACGGGTGCCTCCTTTGTACCCTTCTTCCACTCGTCTTTTCGGACTGCAGAGCGGGCACATGGTGACGTTCAAGTTTGCCAATGACTGCGTGCTGACGCTGCGTACCAGCGGTACGGAGCCCAAGATCAAGTTCTACAGCGAGATCAAGGCGCCCATGCCTAGCGACGGGTATGCATGTGGACGTACTCTGAGTGTGTCTGTCTGTGATGATGATGATGATGATGATGATGATGATGATGATGATGATGATGATGATGATGGTGGTGGTGGTGGTGGTGGTGGTGGTGGTGGTGGTGGTGGTG